ATTTCTTGATTCAAAAGAATCATTCTACCTTTAACTCTGTTCATTCCCAATAACTGAAATAAAAGAAGTTTATATCAAGAGCAAAGTCAATTGTATCCCACAGTTATGTGACTATGTTACATTTTTTATATCGAGTCTGAACTTTCTTTTTCCTCGTTTTTAGGCTGAAGAAGATGGCCAACGCTATCATGAAAGCGGAAAATGTAGCGAGGATGCAATATGGAACAACATATCGTTTTCGTTTTCTCACATGAAGCCGAGAGACAATATTTGGTTTTCGTCCCCATTTGCATCAATTGACCGACACAAAAAAAGAAATGATTAGAAATAGTGCAATCTCCTACATTACCAGAAAGCAATCTCTTTGTTGAACAAAATAAATCACTATCCTTTGATTTGCTGAAAGTTCAACGCCACCCAAAGGTCTGTTTCAAAGTTTCAGATATTATATATTTATATTGGATGGAATTAACTGCAGAGAGTTTTGTGATGTTTTCTGAAACTATTCGGGGGGTGATATTTTAGAAAACATGAGATCCAACAAAATTACCCTCATTGGATGTTTACAAGAAGAGGCAAACCTTAAAGTAAGCAACCCCTGTTCCATCTTTCCCGTGTTCACCTGGAAGTGATCCTCTGAGATTGTTTCTTTTTAAGTTTCTGGAAAGTTAGACAATAACATGAATAGCTAGCCCCTTTTGTCCTATTAAAATGTCCACTTTAATAACGAAGTAATTAACTCACAGGTTTCTCAAAGATGGCAGTCGAGATTAAAACTTCAGGTATTGTTCCACTTAAGCTATTGTCTGATAAATCCCTGTAAATTCAATTTCATTATGAATATTTCTTACTGGTTAAGACAGAAGAATTTTTAACTAAGAGATTCTAGTAATGTCAGTTCAGAGAAATGTAGGATATTTCCCCAGTTAATCCACTCGAAGACATGTTCTATTTAAGGTTCAATTGTATTAAAGAGATTGTGACATACTAAGATAAAAATATAACTCCTGTGTACTTATTGAAAGGCATAATTAGACTTACAATGATACGATTCTGGGGGAATAATTATTCTCGTAGCTGCAGTTAAGGCCATCCCACCAGTAACCTTGGGGGCACATGGATCTCCTTGCCATTTCTTTTGACACGCTATGTGATTTTATATAATATAGCACGAACTAAGATTTTCAAAAGTTCAGAAGAAAAGAGGAAGTGTTATAAGAAGAAAAGAAATTCACACCATATGATGTAGTGATAAGCATATGTTCAGTAAAGCATACCATATTTTGGTCTGTTGCAGTTGCGAGAATTGTTTTACCATGTAGATTTCATGGCATTCATAAGGGGGAAGGTCGATGTCTCAGTTTATTGAGTTTTAAGCCGGACACTTCCAGTTCCTTGTGTCACTGGTAATGAAGTGAAAACAGTTCTGGGAGTAACTTATGAGTAACAGGTCCATAAAAGGGCGTCTCATTTAGGTAGAAGTTGAATTCTCTGTATGGTGCCTAGAGCTCAACTTCGCCAAGTGAATGTAAAAATAAACTTGGAAGTTGGATCAATGGATAATCCCAAGTAAAGAACATGGCTTCACTGTCATTTGTGGTGTGCAAGCAGAACCCATTACAACGGTGTGGTGGAAAGCGTAGCATTCAGAGCCTGCGCATCAACTGGGAATGTTTGGCTTAATGTTTCCCGCTCAGGGGAATTTCTGGGCATCCAAATGCGATCATATTTATCATCTTTGTACCTAGTGAGACAAAATCACTAATTATAGAAACACATACCTTATACCTCACACCATAAATAGAGATCAGTAAATGTTTACCTGACTGATTGATTGGTTGTAGAACAAAATCATAACGTCTTTGGGTAGAAGTGAATAGACAGAATCGCAGTGGTGTAAATTGCACTATCCAAAAAGCCTAGCTCTAGCGATGATATGAACGGTGTTCCACGACCCGTATAACAAGACAGACAAATATATAATCGTTGAAAGCACATGAATGATCTCCGCCGTTACACTGTGAAGGGTTTTCTGGGTCCAGGTCACAGTTCCCAGAGATAACTCCCAGATAAAGATCAAACTGTGGCACACTATTCTGGTTGTCACAGTTCCCATACATGAAACGGGCTCTGATAAATACCTATTATTCTTTCCTTGTGCAGGATATATGGTGTAACAATTCTTATACCTTCAGGGAAACTTCTGACATTGTAAAATTGCCGTTCAAGGTCACTGGTCTGGAATTCGGATCAGACAAGTTCAAACCTGATTGATCCTGAGCATGAATCATAAGAGCAAGAGAGAAACCAGCAAGCAAAGCATAGTGGAAACTCTGTAACTTCTCTATCATCCTATCTCTTTTTTATATAGTTTTTTTTTTCTTATGTGAAATATAAGTGGATCATGACTTCATATATATATATATATATATATATATATACAGCAAAGTTAATTAGTGTATCAGTAACATTAATAATAATTAAGGGTATTAATTTAGATTATGAACGACATTAAATGCTGCACCTAAAAAAAATAGACTTATTGTCTGATCAACAAGTCAATATAGTAATCAAATTTCAAGTTTCCAGGCTGTTAATTTAATATCATTGTACTGTACCGTACATATTGGTGTATGAAATTTCCATTCAAAAGACTCCACACATGGGATGGCGAGTTGACTCGTAGTCTATAAAACATTGAACACAAAAGTAATAAATAAAGCGAGTTAAAACTTAAAAGAGAGATCTACCTCTTCAGCAGTGTTAGAAGTTGAATTTGTCCAAATCCACTTGCGCTAGCTTATAAAAATCCACTTGATCAAGAGGTACAAGTACAACGAATTAATATATCGGGAGTATTAAACAATAACCATGAAAAACTGCCAGGGTTCTCCTTAATAAATTTTGCATAAGAACTGAAGAGACTCGTTTTATAATAATTGCACATATAATTATCAATCATAAGATGCATGTATGCTAACTTGATACCTAATAATTGATTGATTTTGTATACACAACAATTAGAAGGTTTTTTTTTTTTTTTTTGGGTAAAAGAAGGCATATCTGTTATGGTCTTTGAAAAAAATCAATAAGGTTTTATATGTTATAGAATTTACAATTTTAACCTCAATTAAATTCATATTGATCTCACAAAAACTTGTATTAATTAACACTTTTTTTTAACCTTTTCTCTCTTCTTCATTCTCTCTCGTTTTCTCTTATATTTTCTTCATCTTTTGATTGGATTACTCAAGAAAGGCTATTTCATTAAAAGTTACAAAGTAAGATGATGCTTATTAAATAAATTGATCGTCTTTCAGACCTTAGCCTAGGTTAGGACTGACAGGGCTCAAACTATTCATTTTGTTTTGCCGTATTGTAACAGAGACACAAATGAGATACTAGATTATTCTAATTAAATATATATTTCTAAATTATATAAATGCAGTAAACTCATCAGGGTATCCTCCTCCTCCTTATGTTCCTCAATTTTTTTTTTTTTTTTCGGCATAATGATCTTTTCTTTTAGTTTTCTTAATTGATGAAAGATCATAAGCTTTGGGTTTTTGTTGAGTTTAATAAATAGGTTTGAAATTAGAAAATTAAATTCCTAGATTTTGATGTGAGTTTTGATTTAATCTTGTTTATGTTGATGTATGAGTTAATTAGTTGTTATTTTAAGTTAGGTTTGATAAATTTTAATTAGTTATTGAGTTAGTTTTGAATGAGTTTAAAGAATTGATGAAACCCTAAATTGGGAGATTTGGTTTAATTTTGATATATATGTTAATTGTTTGATAATTAGAGTTGGATTTAATGAGATTTTATGAGTTTATTAGTTGAATTTTATTGGATTAGTATAAATTGTTTGAAAAGCCTAAGTTTTGAGATTTGAGACTTCGGTTTATAGTTGATGTTTTGACCCCATTGACTAAAAATCTTGACTACGTTCCTGTCCGAGGGTATGTCTCTAGTTTATGTACTCTTTTTTTATGAAATTTATCTTTTCCAATAAATAAATAAATTTTGGTTTGAACGACAGGTTAAAATCTTTCACATGATAGAATAGAGTTTATACAAACTAGTGCATGTCCTGTAAATATTGAAATTAATTATAAAGATTAACGAAAACTAAAAATTCAAACCAGACAAATCAGATACATAGATAAATCATTATGAATGTAGTACGATCGTAGTTTTAATTTTTTTTCAATATTTTTTACAGGATATTGGATCAATATTGAGCTGAGTCAGCAAGCTACCTTATTATTGAGCTGAGTCAGCAAGCAACCCTACTTTGACCTGAGTCAACTTCTCTTCAAGCGATGATGTTGACATTGCCCATCTTCTGCTCTTTTCTATTCTTCTCTTTAATTTAATTTATTTTTATTAAAAAGTCAATTAATATTGTGATGATAATTAAGAAATCTGATTTGAGAAAATTTTAATATATTTAGATTATTGTACATAATAAAGCGCCATCAATGAATCCCAATAATACTGCCGATTCAATTTTAAAATTTCCATTGCCGCTGCCTCTGCATTCACTGGAAATTCCACCACCACTGCCTCTCTATGACTGCAAAATTTAGTCTACTCTAATACTATCTATTTTATTTTATTAACGTGGTATTTAATGCGTGTTATTTAGTCTAAGCACTTTCATCCTTTCTCACATTGTTAATTCCCGTTACTCATTGAACACTCTACAAGTTTAAACAACAAATATGTAGTTAGTAGTCCAAAGTCATTTGAGTTCAAGAAGTCAATGAAGAGAACGAATCTTCTTGACCACCAGGTTACATGTCCACGATTAATTAGAAGGCACTGTTGATCAAATTAATCTATAATTGTTTGATCATTATTATCACATGCAAACTTAATAACATAAATGAACAATTAATAAGACAATATATATCAACAGTATTATACCATATTTTGCAGATTGAACCACTAAAGTCTAAACTTCAACGCTCCACAAGAGCTAGAAAATTTACGACCTACCTCGCCAGGGGAGCAGTTTCAGTATCAATAACAATGCTGTTAACTTTGCATTCGCCTTCATTATTATTCTGAACAAGTTCTATTGCCAAACACTCTTTCAAATCCATCACTACCTCGATCATGGTTGGCCTTGTTGAGGAAAACTGAGATGTACAAGCAAGTGCTACTTCCACCGCTTTCCACGCTGAATTGATGTTGAAATGGTCCCCTAAACGTGGATCAACTATCTCTCTAATATCCCCTCCTGCAAGCCTGGATTTAACCCATTCAATTATGTGCATATTTCGGAAGGATTTTAATACCACTGGCTGGCCGGTGATTATATTTAAAAGAACGAGTCCCAAACTATAAACATCACTCTTTTCATTCAACCCGTTGGACATAATCACGCATCTGCATGCATATATCAAAGTTAACCCTATAAGTTTCCATAACAAAACCTTTAGGTAAATTAAAACAAAGTTGGAGGCATGGTATTACTCTGGGTCAAGGTAGCCCGCGGTGCCAGCAACCGTGGTTGATATAGCAGTGCTACTTTCAGTTGAAAATACACGGGAGAGGCCAAAATCAGATATCTTGGCTTGTAGCTTGTCGTTCAATAAAATGTTTGAAGGCTTCACATCTCTATGGACCATGGGTGGCTTACAGCCATTGTGCAAATACTCCAATCCTACGTACAAAATTCGACATAGAAAATTTTACAAGCAACTAAAAAAATAAAAAAACTGATATCTTGGGCAAATATTTAACTCACTAACCCTGTGCAGCATCGACTGCTATTCGCATTCTTTCTTCCCAACTCAAGATATACTCAATTTTACCTGTCAATCATCAATGCAAAATTTTACTAAAATTATGTAGAGAAATTTCTATTTATTCCAGCATAAATTTTCATGTGGTGATGATCATGCACGTTTGATAATATAAATGTTTGACCTGACAAATGTTGTTCCAAGGTTCCCATCGGCATGTACTCATAGATAAGACCCATATTTTTGCCATCAATGCAGTAACCAACAAGTGCAGTCAAGTTTCTGTGATGAACTCTCATTAAAAGTTTTACCTGCAATATTTCGAAATAATGTTAATTTCTTCATGATTGTAATTTGCATGATGAATGATGTTTTATTATGTTGCACGGATACCTCTGCATGGAACTCTTTGTAACCCTGTGCGGATGATGGAGAGAGCATTTTCACAGCTACTTCATTATCCCCAATGCAGCCATGATAAACTGTTCCAAATCCTCCATTTCCAAGAACCCTCGTGAAGTTGTTGGTAATTTTTATGACATCAGAATATGCATATTGCCGATTCTTAGATTCAAATGAATCATTTTGATTTTCTAATAGGATTTCTGCCTTCCCAACAACTGATAATAATGTCAGAACAAGTTTAATTGGTAACTTGGTAAGTATCTATTAAGAAATTAAAACAAGTGTATCCTGCATGATAATAAAAATTTCCTACATATACAATTTTTATGGAAGTCTTACCATTCTTCCTCCATGTTTTAAGGCTGCAGAAGATAGTCAATCCGATAATGACTGCGGACAATGTTGCCGCAAGAAATGCTACTAGTGGAGTAACAACCGAGTTCTTGTTTTGGCTTGAAGGCGACAGCGTATTATTTTGATTTAAGTCGTCCATCCTTTCATCAATCGATTGATAATAAATTAGCAGTAAGACTTGAAATAACAAACATAGATATATATAACATAAGTAATTATATTCATACAAATTATATATACAAACTTTATAAATTAATTTAATATTATTCTTTTATTATCACATTATTGATATCCATTTATTAACTAGATTTGACTTTTTTTTATGAACTTTTTTATTTATTTAGTGATATATCAGTTTGAATTACTCCTTTATTGTCATCTAAGTCATCTTCATTGTTAATTAGGGTGGATTATGAGGAAGAAACTTCATTTTGTTGACAACATTTTCATTCCATTTTTTGGTATATATTTATCCTACTACTTCACTTTGCTATGCTAGAAGACCATCCGATAAAATTAATGGCATATGTTTGTACACAAATCAACTAATCTCCAAGGACACTAAAACTATCAACCAGATAAGAGCTTCAGTAGTCACCTTTATTAGTCCTGGGAGAAATCTAACTCAACAGCTTATAGAATTTCCTTTTACTCTTTTACCATCACGCCACCCAGTGATGGTTATATACTAAAAATTTTCTTTGATTAAATAATTATCATGATTTAGTAATAACCACCACTCTTTAATTACCAGTAATGTTCAACAGAATACTGCTAATGAAGATTACTTTAAGTTAAATATAAACATTGTAATTAGTTTATTTTCACATGTCTTCCTTGATGATCTGATATGTGTATAGTCTGGCTGTATATAAACTTTGTATAACTGTTGTACAGAGCAAGGGATAGTTAATATACAAGAGACCATTTTCTCTGAAATATTTGCAATCTCTATTTGAACACCAAAAATAAGTACTCATGATCTACATAATTCATTACCTAAATCTTTGGTGATGGTGTATGAGAAAAGGCAAACCTTAAAATTAGTGATCCATTGTTCAACCTTTTCTCGAGTTCCGCTGGAAGTGATCCTGTGAACTCGTTTCCCTTTAAGTTTCTGGAAAGTTAGATAAAAACATGACTCGTCCCTTCAATATAATTTGTCCTATTAAAAATTTTCCAAATTTAAGTCTATAAACTTACAAGACTCTCAAAGATGGCATTCGAGAGAAAAAATCAGGCACTGATCCACTGAAGCTATTATAAGATAGATCCCTGAATTCAGCGATTTTCGTTCATTGTCAGTGGTGAGAGAAGAAACCAAGTTCAAGTAGTTCAATATTGGTAAATGTACGATTTACTATTTAGATTTTAAATGTAAGATAGAATGGTCACAGATGTTGAAGTGATGTCAAATTCGCAAAGGTTGGAGTTATCTGTCCAGTCAATCCACTCAAAGACAAGTTCCTAATCACGTGTTCAAAGCATCATACAATATTACAATTTGCATCTCTTATTGTAAAGTTCTTTTATGTTAAAAAAAAAAAAAATATTGAAAATATAAACTTACAAGGAAATGATTCTAAGAGGACTATTGTTCTCCAAGCTGCTGCAACTAATGCCTTCCCAGAAGCAATTTTTAGGGGCGCAGGGATCACCTTGCCAGTCCTTTTTTCTCACTTGATAGGTTTTTTTTATACTCATCATAGCATTCACTGAAATGTTCAAATATATACAAACAAGTGATAAATTTGGAATAAGTTTCCAACTTCAAAAATTTATATGCGTAGAAAAAAGCACAAGTTAGGAAAAACATACCATCATTTTGGAGTGTTAACGGTTGCGAGAAATCTCTTACCCTGTAGACCTCGACGGCATTGAGAATGGGTGGAAGGGTTGAATTTTCAGTTTTTGTGATTTCAATCTTGATACTTTCTGCTTTCAGTGGTCCCGAAGGGACTGTCAATGTGGACAAGTATTCTGGCCTATAAGGCCCATAAATTTGTTCCCCGTTTTCGCGCAAGTTGAATTCTCTGATTTGGTTGCTGTGTAGTTTCTCTATTTCGGCAAAATACTTGTAAGAATAGTATCGGTAATTTGGATCTGCTGACAAATAGCAAGAAAAGACCAAGCTCCCATCATCGTTATTTGGTTTGACGGCTGTAGTCATGACAGAAACTGGTGCTCGGTAAGGGGCATCATTCAGAGTTTGGGCATCAATATTGTTAATCAAGGGTCTCGATGTTTCCCAATCAGAAGTGATTTTGGGCGTCCAAATGCGGTCATATATATCGTCCATGTATCTATTCAGGGCATCACTTAAAATCATTACTTATGAAAAAAAAAAAAAAGCCTTATAGTTCACTTCACAAATATGATATCACACAAAAAGTTTCACCTGACTGCTGGTTGATCAGGATTAGAACCCAAGTCAAATCGTGCTAGGAGTGCAAGGGATTCAGTGGACGGATTCTCTGTCTTGTAAAGCGAAGTATTCAAAGGCCTAAGCTCTAGAGATGATATAAATGGTACTCCGAGGCCTGTATTAATAAGACACACAAATATATAATCTGTTGAAGGAACATGTATGATCTCCTTGGTTAAAGGGCTGTAAACATGGTCCAGATTTATTGTCTCCCAGAGACTACCCCCCAGATATAGATCAAACTGTGGCGTTTTATTTTTTCCGTCGTAGTTTCCGTACATGAAACGGGCTCTGATCAAATACTTACCGTTTTTTCCTTGAGTAGGATTCAGGGTGTAACAGTTTTTTTTACCTTCTGGAAAACTTCTCACAGTATTAAATGGATCTTCAGAGTCTTTGCTGAAGAATTTGGGATCTACACTCCCTGATAACCCTGTATCAATGAAGTTTTCATCTGAAGTGTACTTTATACCATTAGCAAGATCAGTAGAGTCAGGACCTTCTGCTTTCCCGCAATCTATGCTAATGAAGTCTGAAAGAAAGATAAAGAATTAAGGCAAAAATAAGGCTCAGTTAGAACTTAAATTGCCAACTATATTGAACTTCATACAATTTACATATAAACTTTACATATGGCAGTTTCAGGTTACAAAAATCGGGTTTGGGTAATTGGTAATAGCAAAATCCGAACTAATTATACAGAAAAGTTCAAACCTGATTGATTCTGAGCATGAATCAATGCTGCAAGAGTGAATATCGCAAGCAGAGCATAGTGGAAGCTCTTCGACTTATCCATCATCCTCTTTTTGAGTTTCTTTCTTCTTAACTAGGTGAATAAGTGGATGATTATATATATATAAAGCAAAGTAGGTATATCAGTAACAAAATCTCAAGGGATTAATTTAACTGGATAATTTTATACTTAAAAAATTCCCATTGTTGTTGAAGAAACATGATTTAATGACAACAATAAATATGTCATTTTAGCCTGAAAGAGATGGAGCAATTGTTTTATTCAGACAATTAATTGGTAGCTAAATTACAAAATGGATGCCTTCAGCTTGCCCGCATGTTGGGGTAAAGAACAGTTGATAGCTAAATTACAAGTTTCCAGGCTGGCTTGAAAGATCATTGTTCTAAACCCGACTTACACGCGAGAAGGCATCCATTTTTGTTTTATTTATGCAGAAAATCTATTTTGTTTCATATGTGCAGAAACTTAACCACATGTTAGATTGAAATTATCATGTTATATGCATAGCCAGAGTCGCTTACTATATTATATAATTGTGAAATCATAACTATTATAACCTTTTTCTTTGTGATCAGATGACAAACCCTTTAGCTATTTAGATTAAATATACTCAGAATGGCTTGTGTTCGAGTCGTAGGAGAGATACATATCAAATTACACAATTATCTTTATCCATTGGGCTTGTAGAGTGTTCCATGACCCTAAGGATTAGATAGAGATACCTATATAACATTTATGCAATTATTTTTGTTCATTGGGTTTGTAGGATTTTCCATGACCCTACGATTAGACAAACTCCAATGTGAGCTAGATACCTAAAATAAAAAATAAATCATCTATATTTTTTTAATATTTTTCAAAAGAGTAAACAAATTTTCCCACCCAATGTTTACCTTAATGACATTTTCCCACCCAAAATGTTTCAAAATACCACTTTCCCCCCCAAAGTTAATATTTTGTTACTATTTAAAGCAAATTCCTGTCGATTCTGACATGAAAATTCTTTCCGTCACCACCATTTGAACCTCTAGTCTTCTCTCTACAAAACCTCTCCCATTCCGACACCTGATTTTTCGCTAATTGTCAATCATCATAAAGCTAGAGTTTCATGTTCTTAGCTGATTTTCGACTGATTTCAGTAGTGAATATTTAATCGATCACCACCATTAGATCCATTGGCCTCCACTCTACAAAGCCCCTCTTATCGTGACTCCTAGTAACTCGACGAACGTCGGCTAAGAAAGTAAGGTGTGTTTTGGGTATTAACAAAATATAAACTTTGGGTGTAAAAGTGTCATTAAAGCAAACCTTGGGTGGGAAAATGTAGTTTACTCTTTTCAAAAACCCCAAACCTTGACAACTTTACTAACGTCCCTTTCTTTGAAAGGGTCCTTCTTATCTAGTATTTTAAACGACAAAACCAACACCACAGTGGTCCATATAGTATTTATTAATGTTTAATTTTTTAATGAAGCATAATGTCATATGGATAAAAAAATGTATAAATAATATATAAATTTTGCTTTAGAATTTGAGATCTAGTTTTCATTATATATATATATATAACCATTGTTTTTTATAATATCATAAGATTAAGGGTGCAATAAGAGAGAATTAAATTATCTTCCCCACAATACTTGATAATTGTATAACCATTATTTTTGTTAAAAATTGGCACCATAATGTTATAAGAGAGAAATAACTTCCACACAAATCTGGATAAGAATTGACGTAAGTCAGCTATCCTACTATTGACTAAGTCAACTGCTCAAAGCCTCATACTCATGATATTGACTTTGGATCATCCTATTGGGCTTTTCTTCTACGTAAAATAGCTTTCAAGTGTCTCCGCAGTCTTGGGTGTATTACTCAATAAGTCATGGATTCGATTCACCTAGGTTATTAATAGAGGTAGTCACTGAGGAGATTTATCTGACTATCAACTTTAGGACCCTAAGAGAATAGTTGAGATACACGTAAGCTGACTCGGATACCTCCGATCACCAAAAAAAAAAAAAGCGTGCAGACCAACACAACTTTTCTTTTGGTTTTACTCTATTACCTTTTGAGGATGGATAATGTAAGTTTTTATTTTTTTAAATTTCATATATTATATCTAGGTTGGGTGATAAATTTAGAATGAGAATCGAGATGGGTAATTTTTGACATCCCTAAATGAAGCAATGAAAGTGTAGAGTTTAATTAACAAAGTAGCCAAAAAAGAGCCTGAAGTTTAAGGGATTAAATTGATATATTTCTACACAAAATTTAAATAGGACGTAGGTCTACGCTGACTTGGCTATATTGAATGTGATGTACACTAAATCAATACGTTGATGTTGACTCAGTCTTGGTACCCTACCATTGACCGGTGATACCCTCTACACGAAAGAGTACCATTGACCTGCCTACTTAATGTGCTGGATGATGAAATTAAATCTTTAATTACCCTATACAAGTTGTCATATCAATACGTTGAGAGTTGACTCAGTCTTGGTGCCCCACCATTGACCGGTGATACCCTCTACACACCTGCCTACTTAATGTGATGGATGATGAAATTAAATCTTCAATTACCCTATACATGTTGTCGTATCAATTCATAAATAAAATGAAAGTTTTGTTTAAAATCTCTACGGGTTAGGATCGAAGCATTATTTTTTTTGGACGTAATTTTGATCCAATAGATTAATGTGTTTAAATTGTTGAGATTGCATGTATATATGATATTTCGAAAGTGCATTAATTATGTAAGTTGCATTAATGTGATGGATGATGAAATTAAATCTTTAATTGCCCTATACACGTTGTCATATCAATTTATAAATAAAATGAAGGTAAGCCTTATTTTTTTAGACGAAATTTTGATCCAATAAATTAATACATTTAAATAGTTGAGAGATGCATTTATATATGATATTTCCAAAGTGCATTAATTATGTAAGTTGTATTGAATCTCGACCATCTAAAGTGCTATGGTCCTAATGGCATCAAAAATAACTTCATCATTTAATAACATAGCAGTAATTAGGGGTGAACATGGCTAATGGTTCTACCTGAAATCGGGCGGTATAACCAGAACCTACCAGAAACTGGCTTCATAGGATAGGCTCCGGTACCAATTTTTCGAACCGTCGCTATGCGGATCCAGTTTTGGTATCGTTTTCGGTTCCTACATCACTTGAAACCTAGAATGGGAACAAAGGTTGGGTACTGGGGATGGAACCTGTCTTGGAATTGGGACTGGAACAAAACGTCAGTAAAGTATGAGGTGTCTATTGTAAATGCATATAAAAAATTAAAATGCAATTAAGACACATGGGTGACGTGGTGAAGAAGTGGATGGGATGGATTATATTAAATGCTATTAAATAATTAAATAATAAATATTATATATTATAAATATTTTTAAAATCTATTTTATAATGTTAAACATAAAGTTTTGATTTATTAGTTAACTAATTAAGTGCATAATTGGAATAAGGATATACGTAAAAGTATTTTAATTTTATTAAAATAATTATTTTTTAATAAAATAGTTGATTCGATTGAATAATATTTACTTCAATTATCAAGTCCTATATATATATATTAGTAATTATATATGATAAATTGATGAACATTAATACATTACTTAATTAAATGATTAAAAATTTAATTAATTATAACATTATAGTATGACGACTCATGGTATATTAAGAAATATGAGTGTTTGTAATCAAACTTAAATTAATGATATCAAACAAACTTAAAGTCATACTAATTATTTAATTAAAGATTCACAAATCATATTAATATTAATATTCAGTTTGATTCTTTTGTCACAATTAATGTTAATTTAACTTATGGGTAAATTCAAAAACTTTATTTTCACTCTAGTAATTATAATACCATATAAATAATTTTCATTAATTCATAAGTATGATAGTATGAATCAAAGTTTAACAAGTATCAAAGATTTGTTAATTTATTAAAATACAAAATCAGAACCACCTTCTAATAGTGTATGAAACTTTTTCTGAAATAATTTATCTATTAGTAATTATATTTTATTTCTCTATTTAAAAATAGATATTATAAAGGTAAAGTTTTGAGGGCATGTGATTAAGACTTAAAAGGATCAAAATTTATTATATTCGTTAATTATTTGATTAATTAAGTGTATAATTAAAATTAAGATCCAATTAAAAGTGTCTTAATGTTATTAACAATAATATTTATTTCAATTATCAAGTTCTAAGTATGTCTATAATAAATTAGTAATTCTATATAATAAATTGATGAACATTAATACACTACTTAATTAAATGATTATATATTTAATTGACTTATTAGAAAATTCAAAAGCTTCATTTTCGCTCTAGTAATTATAATATTATATAATAATTGTATTTTTTTGGATAATAAAGTTCACTAAAATTTAATTCTAAAAAATTAATTCCATAAATATAATTTGATGTAAAATTTAATAATTTATATATATATATAATATATTTCCAAGGATCTGTGACTGTGATTGGACACAAATGAATGAGTGATAAAAATTGAAAACTACTTAATGTCGTTTTCTTAATTTTCAGGGGTGTATTGGTAAATCTTTAAGGTTTACTTGTCATTTTTTAAATTAATAGGGGGTAATTGAAATTTTATAGGGTACCCAAGTAAGTAACCGAAAATTTACTTGCTCTGCTCTTTCTTTCCCGATTTCTCTCAAATCTTGTTTTTCTTTCTACAACGTTCTAGTCCTTTCATGGTATCAAAGCCATAGACTAGCGTCAATGGCAAGCTCTACTCCTGATTTTTCAGTTAATACATCCAAGATTGATGCTGAACAGCTTGGTAATGGAGGTACACAGAACTTAACAGTTCATTCGTCACTTCCTACTCTCTCGGTGAAGCTAGTGGAAAAGAACTACAACTACTAGCCTTCTCAGGTTTTACCTGCATTAGCTTCTCATGATTTAGATTGCTTCATTATAGGTACAAATCCTTGTCCCTCTCTGTTTATAATGGAGAAATTAGAAGGGAATGAACATACAATT